ATATATGTACAGGAAATATAAAGTGCGGAAATTAAATCCTATGCTATTACATCTTGTGAGCAGTTACATAATAGAAAAATACGGAAAAATAAACTAAACAATTACAAAATTTCCCATGCAACCTATACATTCTTTCTAGAATTTAAATGGCAAATAAATAGAAAAATGATAAGAAAAAATATAAAAATGTCCTGAAACCTTAAGTATTAAGAAAAATATTTTTTTTGGTATTTTTGAGAAATAGAACTAAAATTGATTAGAATCTTAAGTCTATTGATTTTAAATTAAACAAAATGTTAAAGTAATTAATTAATTTATTTACAAAATTAGCTTAATTAATAAAAATACTAACCTTGTGTTTTTTTTTGTGATTTCATTTATTTATTAAAAGAAAATTAAATCTTGAAAATAAAATATGAAACAAATACACAAAACAAACTAAAACAGTAGAAGAGGAAAACGCAAACGGGTCTGCTAAAAAATAATAAAGGGGGTGCAATGTTTGAAATTGGTCAGGCCTAATTAAGTTGGCCTGGGGTGCGTTAGGATTTGGTGAGAACGCATCTGGAGAGTCCACGGTGGGGACTGCATGCTGGAGGCGCTGGATCCATGTTGTATGGATCTGATGATGCTGATGGTAGAGTGCATGGTGCACATATTTGGACTTGAAGATCCAGATTTGTCAATATAACATGAGAAAAATAGAAAGGCTGAAGCCTGGTATTGAACCTAGGCCCTCTAGTCCATCGCGCGCTTCTTCACCATCCAACCATCTATTTCAATTGTTAGTACAAACAACAAAACAATAATACATTTGAAACCCAGTCAGAAATATGTTTGAATAAAACAATAATATGCCATGGCTGAATGGAACAGTTTCAAATGCCCAAACAAATGGCAGATTTTTATTCTGATGTCAGTATTTGCATATGACGATTGTAAGACACAAAAACACGTTATAACGATAAAAAATGCTTGAATTAAGAGATTGAATTTCAAAATATATACCTATGGCCAATATACTTTGATCTGCAGTTTTGAGTATGGAACCACTTTGTTGAAATTTGGAGAAAAGTTGGTGCAGTTTTCTGGGGGTAATGTTTTCGTCTGGCTAATGCATGTGTGTGTGGCAAAATGTTTATGTGTCTGGCTAAAGTGTTTCTGTCTCTGGTGGCAATGTTTTTGTGTCTTGGTAAAGTGTTTTTGCCTCTAGTGGCAATGTTTCTGTGTCTGGTCCTTTACTTGCGCTTTTAACTCTATATTTATAGGGGCAGTGGTGAATGGAAATGGCAAGAATCAACAATTAACCAGGCTTTGAAGGCAGAATATAAAGCCTTAAAAGGTTACCTTTTTTGATGATTTTCTACCCTTTTGGGTTTTGAATGAACCTGGACAGGTTTCTCATCTTGACTCCTTCGAATGCCCTCAAGCCTTGTTCTTCGATTGACTCTGAATTGCTCCTTTCGATGGCTTTGGGCTTTAATTCGATTTGCTCACAGTTTCATCCTCATGGCTCCTTCGACTGAGTTCATCTACAATGGTTGTTTGACCTGGAAAATTCTCCTAGTCGAACTCTATTCTTATTCTCTTCGATTTCCTTTTTTTGGAGTTTCCTTCTGTTCACCTCCTTCGAACACAGTTTTGACTCCAATCCTTACTTTTGTTTTTTCGTTTACAAAGCCATCCTTATCGAACCTTAGTTCACCTTCGATTGGTGAATATAACTTGTATTACACCGATCGAAGGATAACCTATGAGCACCTTCAATCACCCAACTCCCTTGTATGTTCAGGAAAATGCCTGAGGCATATTGATCCTAAAACTACAAGATGACTCATATCTGGCTGACTCGTTTCTATTTGTCCTTCGATCACGCCATATTTGAAGGTTGCATGTCTTTCGAATCATTATCCTTTCACATGTTTCTTTGGATAAAATAAAAGCGTTTTGATTCCCAAAATATTCTTCTTTTCAAAATGCCCATTCAAACAATGTGTCAATCGAAAGGTTTTTTATTGTAGTGCTTCTAATAGCTTATATTTTCATGAGTCGAAAACAACACCCTTCGATGCCTTTACTAGCTCTTCCAATCGAAGACTTTAAAAAAAACCTCCTCACGCGCCTTCTTTCGATCCAGCCTTCCTTGGATATTTCGAATAACTTATATTTCAGTGGTTCAAAAACGAACCCTTCAAAGCTCCAATTGAAGACTTCAAATTAGCCTTCTCACATTTTCCTTCGAGTTAGCCTTCCTTCGATCCTTCAAATTAGCCTGCATATTGTTGTCGAAGCTGCTTCGACCCAAAAGCTCTTAGGCATATTTTCAGCCTTTGACCTACACTTTGTCATGCACACTTTTTCTTTCTTTCAGCTGTGCCATTATGCTGAGGCATATGGGGGTGGCATGAAAATAATTTGAAGCCCTTGCAAACCAAAATTCTTTGTGAGAAATGAAACCTTAGATGAAAGTCCATTGCTTAGAAGGAGAATTTGTCTAGTCAATTCTTGGTCAACCTTGAACAATTGAGGACCTTAATGAGAATGCCCTGAATAAAATGGGAGGGAAAATTTTAGGGTGCAACAATGGGGGACCAAAAAAATTAGAGACTAAGTTTTATGTTATCTTTAATAGACCTAAGGGTTTGACATATGCACCAAATGTGCCTTTTATTTGCTTGTATTATTATTGTGTTTGACATATGCACCAAGTGTGCCTTTTGGTAATACTGTAATAGACATATGCACCAAATATGCCTTTTGGTAATGTTGTAATAGACATATGCACCAAGTGTACCTTTTGGTAATGTTGTAACAGACATATGCACCAAGTGTGCTTTTGTAACTTTGCTGTCAAAATTTTATTCGACCATGCTGTCAAAATTTTGTAACAACTGTCTTAGACATATTTTGCTATCAAAATTTTGCTTTCAATGAATGTAACTTTGGTGACATAGACATATTCACTGTCAACGAATGTAACTTTAACACAATTACACAAAACTTAAAATTTCATTCAACAAAACATAATTTGTCTTACATTGGCAACCAAAAATTAGAGTTTAATTCAACACAAACTTGTTTGTCTTACAAACCATGACAGACCAAGATCCAATTACAAACCATATCAACTACTTAAAATACACAGCTGCAAAAAAACATCCAAGATAGAACAATTGTAGTCATCATCCAGAAATTCTTTGTCTTCTCCAATGCAACCTTTCTCTTCAGTTTTTCCACCTTGTTTGATCTCTCCTCAACGATCTCCTTCGCAAATTCTCGCAAATAAACCTTGCTCATGTCACATTCGCAACATCTAGATGAATTCACTTCAGCCTCGCTAACCATGCCGTCCTAGAGAAACAAACCACAACCATTCTGCATTTTTTCCAAATATTAAAACATAAACAAATGAGAAGGTTCATATAAGAAGAATTACAACCTTATAAACAACTCACCATGGAATTTCTGCATTTCTAAAATTTTCTGCTTGGATTTTCGACGGTGTTAGACACCTATAACTTCATGTTTTCATTGCAGCCACATCTTGGCAAACCCTTACTTGTTGAATAACACTTTCTTCCACCCATGACGACTGGACGCCTATAGACGACAGAAGCTTCAATGGAAAATGAAACCTAACGACTAATCGTCTTTGCAACGCAGACTTCTCACATAAACCCTAACATTGCAGGGGGTATAACGAATATAAAACATAATTAACAACTAGGCAAGGTGATGATTTAATTAACAATGCCATGTGTCTAAATTGGAAATAGGACGTGGCAAATAAATCTACATGCCACTCAAGATTCCATGAAATATGGCCAGTGGGGGGTGATCTGAGGGAATCTACATAACACAAGGGTGGAATTAAAAAAAACTTTACGAGAGGCTAAAACCTGAATTCGCTAATATTGCAGGGGGTATTTTTATATTTAACCCTTTTGTTTATTGTGTTGCATGTATTTGTTGTGTTGTTGTATGATATTTTTTGTTGACAAATGTTCTCAAAACAAGAACAAAACATTTCTAACTCATAAGAAAAAGGCTTATTGCGACTTATCAATAATTTGTTCTTTAAATTCTTATACAGGTTAACAGAAGATGAAGTTTAGTTTATTATATATTATGTATATTGTTTGTTTCAGTATCATTTTAATGAAAATGCAATCATTTAAATTGATATGTAAACTTATAATTTGAAAATTAAGATGTATGTGAAAACCAACCTATATCAATCAATGTTTTCTGAATTGCATGCATCTCATTTTGCATATTTTATGTTCCTTAACTCATAATATATGGTTCAATAATCGGTTTCGTACAATATATCGATATCTATTATTCTACTTTACCTCACTGTCGTCGCTTATCATCGTGATTGTTAAGATCATGATTGTTATGATGATAAGTCATCATAACAATCATGATGATAAGCGATGATAATGAGGTAAACAATAACAAAAGACAATGATGCGTTGAAGGAATCCGACCATTGAACCATATATTATGGGTTAAGGAACATAAAATGTGCAGAATGAGACACATGCAATTCAGAATACAGTGGTGTGTTTAAGTTGGTTTTCAAGAATAGTTTAATTTTCAGATTATATAATTCTTTACTAATTTAATGGTTGTATTTCTTTAATGAGGTGTATGGTAAAAAAAACAATATACATTGGTATATAATAAATTATGGGTACCCTTCACAATGGTTTTCTATTTTAATTTATTTGCTGATGTTGGGTTTCAAATCCGGTACCGTATATATCACGATAATGAATAAGCATAATTGTTGTGATATCACGCACGCTTTCTAGTATACTACAATATTTCTAGGACCGTGATTGTTATTAAGGAATTTACTACAACACTCTATACAACAACGTCCGGACCTACATGATTATATGTATGTTCCAAATTTTTCTTAGTAGTGCCTTCATCTAACTTCATATAACTTCTCTCAATCATAGCTCTCTAACAGCTCTCAATCTTTGATTATGAGATTCTTCGATGAAAGACATCTAAGTTTCATCAAGTTTGTTACATTTAAGTTTCATCAGGTTTATTTTGTTTTATGGTTTAGGTTTTCATCTTGTTTTAGGTTTCATCGATTTAGTTTTTCATCTTGTTTTTGATGTCATATTGTCTTAGGTTTCGTGACAGCAACAATTGGCGGAAGATCTGAAAAGAACACGTATGCCATATATTCTTCTCAAACACATTTTGGATAACTAGCCGCTAGAGCCTACAATCGACAAACTAACTAAATGTGGTGTTTCCAAAGCTAACCTAATCATTAAACCTTGAAACAAATTCTCGAGTCATTAGTTATACCGGAATATAATTGTAGTAACACTTAAGATGCTATAGTTTAAGTGCACAAAACTATCAAGTTAACTAAAAAGTGAAAATAGAACTATAGTTTCAGTTGACAATGTTTAGTGAGAATTGAATTTTTGGAAAATTTTTTTCTTCTGAATAACTCTGTTTTTTGTTCAGAATTGAAGTTGAGAATTGAAGGTGAGGATCGGTGAACTTCACTACCTTTCGCTCTCTTTGCCCCCTAAGTCATTTTCTGAATAACTCTGTTTTTTGTTTTCCATGATTACAGTGAGAGTTTGGTATCACTGTAATGCTAAATCTAATATGTTGTGACTTGTGTCTTATCTTGTTATTTAGTAATGTTTTGACTTATGTCCTCTCTTGTTATTCTTGTTATTTAGTAATGTTGTGACTTGTGTCCTCTACATGTTGTGACTGTGAGAGTTTGCTATCGGTGCAACGGTAAATCACATATGCTATGACTTGTGTCTTCTCTTGTTATTTAGTAATGTTGATGGTTGGTGTAATTAAAGTCATTGGTTTGTGTCAATTCAGTTCATGTTGGCATGAATCTTCTATTTGTTCTATTTAACATAACTATAAACTATGTAGTTCATGTTTACAATGATATACTCTTTGTTCTATTGAATTTAGAAACTATATATGTTAAGTTGTTACAATATATGAACTCAATAATTTGATTTGTCACTTGAAAACATTAATTTTATCAAGAAATGTGACGAGAAAGCCTTGTGATGACCCTATAGAACGAAGCCCTGGTACTAACTGTCTGGAGAGAATGTTTATGCGTTTGATTTTAGTTTTTATGATGAATGAGAATGTTGTGCATGTTTTTTCTTCTTCTTCTTTATTATTAGTGGTCTGAGTGCTACTTTTTTCTTCTTATTTATTATTAGTGGTTAGAATGTTGTTCATGTTTGAATAGTTAGTTTGTATGTGGAGATGTAAAAATTACTTTTTCGACCAATTGTCATGTCAAATAGTGAATATACCAGCTTAATAGTGTAGAGGAATTTTAATAATTTGTTAATGTTTTCTGCCATATAAGTGTTATAGTATTATAGTGAGGCAGAATTACCAGTCATGCCTTCACATGTTACTGCACCATTTTTTACGTGCATTCCATGTAATGTGCGACCTATTGTTTGACTCTACTGACACCTTGTTTATTAATGTTCCTCAATTTGCAGATCGAAACATTCTCAAACTTATTCACCTTCTCTTGTTCAGTTTAACAAGCTTCTATATATTTGTTAAGGCAAGACTATTTTACATTTACGTTAATAAGCTTCTACATAGCTTACATGATGTTTGGTTATGAATTGTATTTCGAATAACTTCGTTTGTCCTCTATATTTGCTCTCAATTTAACCCTATGATGTGTGTTTTCATTCTGTTTTGGTGGTGATTTAATTTTCTTGTTTCGATTTCATTTTTGTTTATATGTTTAAATCTGTGAACAATGTCTTTTGTTCATCTCCTGACCCTGATGCCTTTGGGAAACTTAGTACAAGTTACTTCAGTAGCACTTAATAAATTAGGCACCGGTTATGCATATTACAGAATTGAACAAATATGTGGTTTAGCCGATGAAGGATTAATTGATGAGGTTGAGCCAGAACTAATGAAAAATGATCCAATGATTAAAGATGGAGAGAACGATGGTGTGAATTAGTTGTAGTTTTAGTTTATAGTAGGCCATGGCAGTAGTGCCATGATATGTTGTATGATGTTCAATTTGAATTCCAATCAAGTATTTGGTGTTATGTTTATGTTTATGAATCTCAACACGAACTTCAAATGTAACCAAATTGAAATGTTTATGTGATCTGAATGTTTTACTGCCTCAGTTATTCTGCTCATAATAATGAATTCGGGTTTTGTTGATTTTTCTCCTTTATTAAACAATCTACATTGTTGACTCACTAGTAGCTTAGTTAAGAATGGAAATCTATGTGCTTTAAAATAATAATTTGTTTCTAGTTTAATGCATAGTAGAGTGGATTTATTGCTTTCTGTTTGGGATGTGTTTGGTATGTGCAATTACACTTTAAGTTAATTCTCTCAAAGTCTTATTGGTTTGTTAAGGGCATGTACTGATTTATGTTCTTTGTTTACCAGGTATCCTTTAAGAAACCTTTGGTTGAAGAAACAAAGTACATTTTTGGCTTGTTATCCATTGTTAGTATAACCATAGATGTCTCAATTTCGATCTCATGAGTTCTATTGTTTGATGGAGAAGAAGATTTCTATTAGTGTAATATTTCACTTTAGGCACTGTAATCTGTTACTATAATCAGTCACCTTTGGCACTGTAATGAACTTGCTACTGTAATCTATTAATGTTTTCAATGGTGCAGTAATCTGTTAACCATAAATTTCCTGGAATGCAACAGAAACATTGCTCTTGAGCAAAGTAGTATTTTCTTTTCACTTCATAATAAAGTGAATACAATATCTCATCCAGTTCATTGTATTTGCTAATCCATGATACAATAATGATACCATTACTAGCAGTTTTTTTGATACCATCTGTATTTACTAATCTATGATGCAATAATATAACCACTATTATTTTCTCTTAAATTGTGTATATTTTGGTGACTCGTGGTCGGTGTAGGGTCAAAGAATAAATTGTTGGTATAAGCCCTAGATGTTAATATTTTTGGTATTTGTATAGAATTATTTATTAATAATAAAATATATTTCTTTATTATGTTTGCCTTTTCAAAATAATAAAGTCCCAAGAATGGTTCGTCTGTTTAATGAAATATTAAGTTTGACTTAATCATGAAATCTCATTAAACATAAGGACACTATTTTTAAAGTATCTGTAGTCGAGATTTATTATGAAGTGGCATAACATTAAAGCGTTGAGATTATTATGTAGATAGACTGGTGATCACATCTCATGGATCATGGATAAGGAGTTATCAAGTCTTGACATAGCTATGAATATTAGGATTAATATTTACACTGAATTGACTATCTATGAGAATACTAGATAGAATGTTATGCAAGGTTTCATAAGTTATTCTCATGGTAATAATGGTGTATACCACCCTTCGACCTGAAACTACTATGGATCCTAGATGTAGAGTTAAGTACTTTATTGATGATCAAACGTTATCCGTAACTGAATGACTATAAAGACAGTTGATGGGTACTTCACAAAGAATGCTGAGGGACATAAATGACCTAGATGGAATTTTTCCATCCTGTATAACATGATAAATGTCTAAGGGTCTAATATTGAACTGGACAAGGGTGACACGGTCTATGCCTTGTGTTCAATATAGACATAAGGACAAAAGGGTAATTATACAGACATATATAAGGTTTTATCATATCATATGACATTAGAGCTTAGGCTTGTTTGGTTGCTACTCGGTTGTTGTGTTTAGACCTTTACACTTAGGTGTTTGGTGAGCTCTTAATCCTTTTTTTGTTGTTGTTTTGTCCTTGTTTCATGCTCCCTTAGGTTTACTTGGTTCATCTTTGAATCAAGGTAGACATTAAGCTTTTAAACCATGCATGCTATCATTAGGTAGCTTTCCCTTTGTTATCCTAACTTTAGGACCACCATTGCATGACAACATTATGAATTTAGATTCCCATAGATTTTTCATTCCTCTTTTTGTATCCTCTAAAACTAAAACATATTTTATTAATCAAATGTTGAAAACACTTAACTATAATTATGCGAACCATATGTCACGAGCCTTAAGTGTTGGGAGGGGGTATGAGGAGGTGCATTCCTAACCTTGTGCTTCCTTTCAATCATAATCTTTAATGTGGTTTAAATCACCAAATCCTTTCTCAAGGTAAAAAAGACTAAACAGATTCAAACCTTTTTGTCTCTGGGCTTTTCTTTTAAGAAAACCTTTTCATAAAAGGATATGTTATTTCCATTCCGCACAAATGACACGTGAATCCCCAAAGGTCGGGCAACAAAATGTCAACTGCTAGAATGTGAATGTAACATTATTCGCCTAAAAACACAAAACAATCCAAAAAATTTTAGAAGAACTACGGTGCTCTGATTCTCTATTGTATGATGGAGATACGTAGGCACGAGGTTTCGGAGCCGAGGCGAGTGCAATAATTTTTTTTTTCTTTTTGTTTGTTAACAACTTATTCATGCATTCTCTTATCTAGTAAGATGTATATTCAACACACTCTTTAATTAGAATAACAAGAGTGAATTCCGTTGAGTACAACAGACGCGAGGGGTGCTAATATCTTCCCCTTTCCTAATCGACTCTCTTACCCGTTTCTCTTGGTCGCAAGACCTTGACCTTTTCCTGTTTAGGTTTTTTCGATGTTTTTCTTTTCCTTCCTTGGGATAAATAACATTCGATGACGACTTCATTGCTCATTATTTTCCTAGTTGCTTTAGCTAGCGACTCCACTGGGGACACTTTTCTAAGTGGGTCGATCCTAGCTCTTGTTTGTTTGCTTTCTTTGGATATTTTTCCTTGGAGACTAAGTGAATTTTCAAGTGTTTTTTTCTCTCTCCCTTGGATACTAAGTGAATCTCCAAGTGGATGTTTATTTCTTTATGCTTTTATAAGCTTATTCATTTGTATATATGCTCATATGTATACATGTTTGCATGCATCACATTTTATTGCTTTCTATATTCTGTATACTAGTATGATGTTATTTATTTGGTGAGTGAGATGACACTACGAGGTAAAATGCCTAATACCCGAGCCATAGTGACATATTTAGAAACACATAGGACTATAATGGATGTTCATGACACATGTGGAATATAGGCTCTACTATTGTGATCATGAAGTACCACACGCAAACGAGGTTCAGTTGGGGACACTATCGTCATGCGTGCTTACTTTACAACGGTATATTTTCAGTCTGATTGTTGACTGTGTCACCTTTGACCTTACCTTGACCGGATTTCACCCGTGAGAGGGGGTGAAATTGATATTAACAAGTATAGTTGTTGATGGTCATGATGCTCAGTTCTGTGGTGTTTTGATTTGGTGTCGGATCTTTGATTCTGTTATGTTCAACCTATTTAGAGATTATACAGCAGCACAGAAGTATCCTGATGTTGTGAAACTTTGGTTCCATACCTATTGCACTTGTATCATGTCATTCATGAAAAAAGATGTATATGAAAAAAAGATAACTAACCCTCATATTGCATATCATTTCCAGGAATTCTAAGATTATTGTCTTCATTCGAGTATGACAAGCCAAAAGGGTTCGAGCAAGAAAGAGACCAGGAGTACCTCCACCTACAATTTCTCCAAATTTGACTTGATTGTATTGAGAAATCTAAGTATCAAAGTGGTTGACAAGAATCGGGGTGACTCCAAAAAGGCATATGGTGACTTGATTTATCTGTTGAGCCCCGAGGTTGACACTAGGATGCTCCAGACACTTTTCCAATTCTACGATCGTCGATTACGATGTTTTACTTTTCAAGATTATCAACTTGCTCTCACCTTGGAAGAGTATGCTCACCTCACAAGACTTGAGATCAACGATCATATACCTTTTGTCAGCGTCCATGAGGAGGTAAAACTCGAAGTGATTGCAAGCACTCTTCATTTGAGCATGAATGAGCTGAAAAATGTTTGGAAACCCAGGAGTGACACTTGGGTATCTCTTCAACCTTTCTGATACGCAAAGCTACAACTCTGACTAATGAAGGAAATTGGATGGCCTTTAATACCTTGTTGGTCTTCATTATATACATAACAGTTTTCTTCTCCAATGTGGAGAACCTTGTGGACGTAGTTGTTGCACTCCAATATTTATCCTCTTATCTTCTCTTTTATCTTGCTTAGGCTTTACGTTCATCTACATACACTTTCATTAGGTCATTTGCATAAACGGTCATTCATTCATCGCATTTGCATCACTAGTCGGTCATTGATGCATTTAGATTGACCATAAGTCAATTTAAATCAATATTTACATCATTTTAGAGTTAAAAAATACCCTTTATCTCACTTCATACATTTTTATGTCTTTACCTGCATCTTGCATTGCATTAAATTGTTTATACATCGATAATATTGATATTTCAATTTTACAGATAGATCGGTAAAAGCATTTCAGCATTGTACAGAAAATTATCGAGAAAATATTTCAAGTTTTCACCTTTATTTGACTGTTTTGTGAATCTGCGTTACACATAAATCATGCCAATATTCTCGCTTTATTTTTCTGTGCAGCTTACGGTCTCTTTTTTAATTGTCAGCATTAGTTCAGTCTGATATCCTTATTCTATTTTTATTCCAATTTAGACAATTTGAGATATTTTTTATTAATCTTTGTGATTGATAATTTATTTTAATGTATTTATTTTTTAAATTAATTAAATATTTATATTTTATCATTTTTGATTATTTTAGAGGTTTTTTTTATTCCAAAAATTAAAATAAAAATATTTTTGAATATTCTAATTTTTACTCTCTTAATTTTTTAAGTCGTTTTTATCAAAAAGGGAATTCCCTCCGTCTCTAGTGCCCCTCCGTCCGGTCTCTCCCTCACGAATTCCCTCCGGCCAACGCTCACTCTCCCGTCCGCTTCGAACCGGACCACCACCGCTCACTCTCCCCAACGCGTTATCCCTCTGTCCGTTTCCCTCCTCCAATCACCACCATCACCATCAACTCGCGACTTCCACCATTTTTGTTTGGTAAGCTTTTTTTTCTTTCTACCATTTTCTTGCTTGAATTAAATTGATGATGATAATGAGTTGATATTGTTAGAAGTTTTATTAAATTAATGATAGTTTGTGTTGTTATGAAATTGGAATTAATGTGATATTGTTAGTGTTGTGGTTGATTTTTGGTTATGATTTAATATTGACATTGAGAGTTTAATCTGATTTTGTATTGAGCTTAATGAAGAATTTGTGATTATGTTAATGAGTGGATATTGTTGAATTTGTGTTGAGTTTGATTGTGAATTAGTGATGATATTGTTTCAAGTTTAATTGAATTAATGGTGAGGTTGATGTCAATTTTGTGTTGAAATGTTGAAGCTAATACCATATTGATGTTGATTCTGTTTTGAAGTTGATATTTGAATCTTGTGATGGATATTATCCATGAAAATGCAACAATTATCAAAACTTTTCCCACCAAGGGGACTTTCTATTTCAATTAAATGACTCGTGTACAGCTAAATCTCTATTAATAATTTGAGTTATAATTTTTCTAAGTTTTCTTTAACTCTAG